GCGCTCCCAGAGCCAACGATCCGAGCTCGTCGCGAGGGCATGCTGCCAGCGCGGAGGGAGTTGAAGGCGATGCTCACGGAAGGCCGGACAGCTGCCGAGACGGTGCCGCGCCGTGCCGCGCACCTGGATGCCGCGAGCCGCACAGGTGCGGCACCATGGCGTCGCCGCGGCCCCTGCCTCGTACGCCCGGTGCTGCGTCCAAGGCCCCGCTGCCACCGCCTGCGCCGCAGCGGAGGCGCCGCCGCTCCACCGACGCAGGTGCCGCGTGAACCATGTGCGCAGCGGGTCGATGAAGGGGGCCGGCTGGAGCGACGCTCGGGCCGGATCGGCGGCGATCCATTCCGACCACAGGACGGCCTCGCTATCCTTCAACGCCATGGCCTTGACGTCAACGGGGCAACAATGCCGTAGGTCCAGCTCGTGCCCGTCCCGCGTCACGAAAACGTGCCACGCTGGCCACGACCACCCAAGCCGTCGCAAGACCAGTATGCACGTCGACGCTGGCCCTGCGAGTCTGCTCCAAGAATCCGCGCCCATGAGCCGCACCTGTTGACGGCGCCAGGCCGCCGCCAGGGTGCTCTCCGGCGTGGTGCCATCCCAAACCTGCTCGGCCCAGGCTGCCAGCGGGGCAGCATCGCACTCTGGCCACGGCTCCTGGCCGAAGATCGCCAACCGCAGCGTAGTGGACCGGTGCCGATGGCGGCCGGGGAGGCCGGCATTGAGGGCGGCCCGCAGCGCGTGCACCTCCAAAGGCTTCAGGCCCAAGGCGCGGTAGCCATACGTCACGGAAGGCTTAAGGCCCGCCTTGGTCACCTTGTACACCTTCCCGCCCAACCGTTTCGCTCCTGCCACGAGCGCCCGGCGCTTGGCCATGCGCGCAAAACGCTCCTTGCGCACTGCCGTAGGCGGGGGCCGCCGGCCAGACGCCCAGCCGCGCCTGTCGATGCCCAGCTGATTCGCCGTCTGCTGCAGGCGCACGCCGAGCCGGGCCATGCTGCGCCCGGGACGTGGCAAGACACATGCTCTTCCCTTTGACGCCGGGCAAAGTGAGGCTGACCTCAATCTGGAGCTCATCCCAGAGGTACGCGATCAGCCAGCTCGCCGACTCGCGCGTGGCCGTCTCCACCTCGCGCGCCACGCCATCGCAAGCCAGCCTCATGTCGTCGACATACTTGGCTAAGCTCACCTCGTGCCACCGCCCCCGCAGCAAGTCGCAGGGGTCCAGCAGGACCAGGTGCAGGACGGCCAGCGCGAAACGGCTGCCGGGCACGATGGCGGACACCACGGCGACGCACTCGCTATGACAGCCGTCCACCAGGAGCGCCCTGGCGAGGGAGTAACTGGCGAGAATCAGGCGGAGCACGCGCGGGGGGAAGCCCCAGCGTTTACCCAGCCGCCACACGTGCCGGAGCTGGACCTTCTCGAAGCACTTCACCAGGTCAAGCAAGACCGTGGCCACTGCCTGGCCGTCGGGGCCCTCCCCCAACGCCATGCCCTCCTCCTCCACTAGGTGCCGCCACGCTGCCTTCTCGGAGGAGCCGCCCCGGCGAGCCCAATCGTAGTCGCGCTCCACCGTGCGCAGCCACGTCTGCACGAGCGGAAACCGGACGGCTTCCCAAAGGCGCACCAGCATGGGCATCTTCGCGATCGGCCGCTTGCCGGAATCGGGTTTCGGGATGAGGAGGTACACCAGCAGGGACACCTGGCTCGGCCACATGAGGGAGGCCTCCACCTTGTGCAGGAGGGTGACCATGTTCTCGTGACAGCTCAGGCTGCACTGCCCCAAGGCGCGGGGGTTCCAGCGCTCGACGCCCAGCCCCGTCTTCACCTTGAACTTGGCCGCGGCGCTCAGCAGATCGGGAACGGCGATGGCCGGTAGCGGCTCATCTCGCTCTGCCCCCGCCAGCCACTCGCGCGAGATCTCCTGCACCTCCGCCACGTTCGCCTGCCACACCTGGGACCACGCGTCCAACTCCGCTGCGCAGACGGCCTGAGGAGAGCACGACGCGCTGCAATTCCCGCTGGTCGGCGACTGCCAACGCGGCAGTGGGCGAGTGAGTCTGTGCAGGGCGCCCGCGTTTCCTGCCGAGGCAGCCGCGTACCTCTGCCGTACGCCGGCGAGCACGGCAGCAGCATCGGCGCGCGCCGACTTCTCGGCGTCGGTGTCCAAAGTGGCACGACTACGGGCCAGCGATCGCCACGTCGCGCGCCCAACCAGGGACTGGGCAGGCGGCCCGGGCCCAGGCCCGGTCTTGATGGCCCCGGCGATGGCCCGGCAGTAAGCGGCCCACGCCTCCAACCGCAGCCGCAACTCGTCGAGGATGCGGCCAGCCTCCACGTCCATCTGGACCCATCGTGCCCGCCTCGTGATAGCATGCAGCAGGTCTGCCATCCGCTGCCGCCGTTGCGGGTGGTCACCCTTCGAGTCAAGAGCAGCTCCCACGTGCCAAAGTTCCGATATCATGGTGCTGAGCGCTCGCAGGTGGTATGTCGCCCTGGACTGCCTGGCCGGAAGCTGTCGGACCCCGCGCACGGGCCTCTCCCGGAAACCCAGCGGCTGGCCCCGCCCCTCATACCGTCGCGCGTCAGCGCCCACCAGATCGTGCAGCCCCAAAATCTCCTGCTCGACCTGACCGATCACTGCAGCGTAGGCCTTGTCGACCTCCAGCTGATTCCCGGCCTCGCCTGAGATCGGGAGTCGGGGCGGAGGCTCCCGCGCGCACCCGACGGGCGCCTCCAGCGGGAGCGGCGCGGGCGCCCGCGGCTCCCGGACCACCATGGTCACCGGCCGCCCCCGCATCCGCAGCTCGACAGGTTTGCGGGGGGCTGAGGGCCACGTCGCCGCCACCTCCACTCCCAGCACCTGCTCCTTCACCCAGGAGTCGACCATGAAGTAGTCGAGCGTGGTCCACGTCTCGCCGGAACGGCATGTGCCAGCACGCGGCGCAACGATGTGGGCCCGCAGCGGCTGCAGAACCGGGCAGGCGGCAAACTCCTCTGGGTCCACGTTGGCATCCATGGCCAAGATCCAGGGGACCCCAAGAGCCCGCAGCGCGGCTGCCCTCTCCGCGAAGGCGTGCGCCAACAGCATGTTCTGAGCGTCCCAGCCCACGGAGTCGACAAAGTAAGCCGCCATGACGACGACTCCGGACCACAGGTTGAGCCACCTCGCCGTGAGGCGGCCTGGCAGCCCAGCAGGGGAGATGTCCTCAACATCCCAGTGGGCCACCACCTCGGATCGCACGTGAGAGCGCACGGCCACCAGCACGCCTGCGGAGGCGAACCGCTTGTCTCGCCCTTCCTGGGATCGCGTCGCCAGCGCAAAGCTGGAGTGCCAACCCTGTGCAACGAGCCTCCGCCGTGGGGCTGCAGCATCAAAGTCTTCCAGCTTGTGCTCCGCCGCGCACACCGCGAGGACGCGTTTGCCCACGCTCTCGATATAGTCGCCAATGCCGCTCCACGCATTGCCGTTGAACATTGCCACCGTGACAACCTCTGCCGCCGGCATGCGAGCAGCGGCTCCAAACACCGGGGCATGGCCGTGAGGCGGAACCACAGCGCTACCCACGTTTCGCGATTGCTCTCCGGACCCCCTTGTCCACGTGCTTCCGGAAGGCAGCTTGCAGCGCTTTGGTGGCGCCCTCCCGGGAGACGCGGGCTGCGGCGGCGCCATCTCCTGGGGTGCCGCCCTCTGCAGCAGGTGCAGGACCAGGAGCATCGCCACCACGGCCCAACACCTGATCCAGGAGGGCCTCGACCTCCGCCTCGGGCATGTCAGCGTCCTCTTCCTCACCCGGCTCTCCGCCCGGTTGCTCGCCGCCTCGCGCCGGATCTGCGGCTGCCCCCGCCGCAGGGGGGACGGCATCGGCGACGCGGGCTGCAGAGCCTGCTTCCGCCATGTCCTTCTCGGCCAGCTCCTCCATGGTCTTGAGGCAGGCCTTCCACTGCTCTCCGGATGGGCCTTCCAGCAGGCTCTGGAGAGGCTCGACCAGGGTGCGGAAGGCTGCGGCACGGTCCAACGCAGAGGCGCCCGCCTTGGGCAGCGCACCGGGCACGGAGGCCAGGACGAGCGCGTCCCGCTGCTTCTGCAACTCCGCTCGCTCCTGCCTGGCCGTGTCGTACTCGGTGCGCAGCGAGGCGACCGTCTTCTCGGCCGCTGGGATGGCGACCGACTCCAACCGGTCCACCACCTTGTCCTTCCGCTTGATCTTCTCGTCCAGCTCCCGGACTTGGACATGGTAGGGCTTCGCGGCAGACTTGGCGGCCTGCATGTTCTGGAGCTGGCCGCGCTTCTCCGCGCGCAGGGCGTCCATGGCTGGGGAGTCCTCCATGGCCTACAATGCCTCCAGGTCGGCGCGCAGCTTGGCGATCTTGGCCTGGTCCTGCTGAGGTGCCGTACCCGCATCAGCCGCCCCAGCAGCCATCGAACCTTCGGCCTTTGCCACGGCCGCCTCACGCCTCTTGAGCTCGGCCTCCTTGACCTTAAGCTCGCGCTCCCGCAGTGCGACCGCCTGGGCACCAGCAGAAACTGATGGTGAGGGCGGCGCGACCTTCGCCAAGAACACCACGCCCTTGGCCAAGTTGCACTTGAAGCACGACGTGCGGAAACCCTTGTTCTTGAACGGCTTCCCGTCGTGGTCCTTGCACGATTTGCACGTCCATGCATCCGTGCTGCGCTCCAGCCGGTGCCATGGCGCCATCTTGCCAGCGGAGGAGCCGTGGTGCGCGTCCAGCCGCCGTGCAGCGCTGTCCAGCAGCGCCCGCAAGGAAGGCGAGGATCGCCCGGCCCAGGCGTGCAGCAGGGCGCGGTCCGCCGAGCGGCGGAGGCGCGCTCGATGATGAGCGGCGGACTCCCGCGCAGCCGCCGTGAGCGCTGGTCTCAGCGCGCGGTGGGGCTGGCCCCTCGCCTGCCTGGCAGGCGCCCGAAGGGGGCAGCACCTCGCGAGCCGAAACTAGAAGGAGAAGGAAGGAGGAGGAAGGAGAAAGAAGGAGGTGGAAGGAGGAGGAGTAACCGCCTCGTGCCCCATCTTCGCCCCCGCGGGGTCCGTTGTGGTCTTTCTGCTGCCCCCTTTTTCCCCGGGACAGAGAATGGATACCTCTAGTCCGAGGTCAGCATCCGTTTCAGGCAACAGTCGAGCTGCGCACCGCTGGGGCCAAGAAATTGACTCTTCCCGACAGTGCACAGTTTCCATTCACTCGACCCTCACACTCTTTGCTGCTGAGGCAAGTTCATGCCAAGCGATGGAGCCTCCGTCTCTCGAAGCGATCGTGGAGCCTCTCAACGTGGGCGCCGCCAACGCCACAGCCGCCGATCTGATCGGGACAGGGATCGGCGCGACAGGCGCAGGGAGCCCTCCACCGCCTCCTCTGGCAGCAACAGCAGTGACGATCGCCGACATCACCGCGACGTACCTGCACGCCGCTATCCTGCTCCTCCTGGCGGCCATCGCGGACCAGGCGCTGCAGGACTTATCGCTGGGCTCTTTGCTGCTGAGCGACAGTAACTAGCTGATGACATCATGACGACATCGAGATGGCTCCCACCTCACCAGATCATGATTCTCGTCGCCAGCCAGTTCGCGAACCCCGCGAGGCAGGCGCTGACCTCCTGCAAGGTGCTAGCAATCCTTGGCGTGATGCTCGTGCCTCCGTCTCGAGCTACCGCGTCTCCACGAACGACATCGAGTCGGCCGTCACGCCGGCCTTCACCAGACAGATGGGCGACATCAGGCCGGGGATCTCCACCATCCTGGGCACGGCACATGACGACATGCGGACCACAGTCCTCGACACTCTCAGACCGCAGGTGGCAAGATTGGATGCTCATGACGGTCGCATTCGGCACCTTCAGGACGTACAAATCCGCTCGCGGCTGGCCAAACAAATTTGCGGGCTGACATGGACCGGGTCCAACAAACACTCGCTCAAGCTCAATCTGCTCAGGATGGCGCCACTGATCTCGCCCGCGTGGCTGCGTACGACAGGCCGCCAGACCCCAGCATCTCCCGCATCAGCTGCGCCCAAACTTCGAGCACCGAAGCAGTGGAAGCCGCCATTCTCGACAGGCTCAGCGACGCGGGCATCTCCAAATATCACACCAAGGTTCACGGCCAGTCGCCAGGGAAGCGTTACTACCTGCATTTACCTGGCGGCGCTCCCGGGGTGGATCGCGCCGCGCGGCTCGCACAAGCACTTCAACTTCAAGGTGGCGCTTGAGGGCGCTTCTCTGTCCCATCTGTCGCGGGAGTTGCCGACGCCATGTGCACCAACTCAGACAAGAGCCCGAAGCAGGCACGAAGAGAGATCCAAGGCAAACAGCCTCTTGGGCTCCTGGTGAGGAAACTGAATGTGAGATCGCGAAGTTGCGCCGCGATCTGGAGGCCCTGCGCTCGGCTCCAACGGCCCGCGAGCACGAGGTGGCGAGGCGCGAGGGCATTGCGCGGCCCGCGCTCCGTTCGCTTGCGCATGGCGCGAGGCTGTCGGGCGGGCGGGGGTCCAGGCGCAATTGCGCGCGGCACGCCGAGCGCTGGCCGCGCGCCGACGCCCCGCGGCAGGCCTGGGCGCGGGCCGCGCGAGGGCGCCGCAGGCGTGCAGGCGGCGGCTCCCAGCTCCGAGCGCGCGGGTGGGGGGCATCGACGTCGCGGGCCCTGTGGCGAACGGCAGCGACGACGGCAAGTTGGAGCTGCAGGAGTTGATCCCTGCTGTGCGGAACGTCATCCTCGGTGGCGACCAGGGGCTGCCGCCGCTCCTAACTGCTGGCAGCGCCGCGTGGCTCGCGCCTGGCTTGGAGGCGTGCTTGGAGCAGGGGCTGCTGGTGCAGCCCGTGGCAGGGCCGGCCGTCGGAGGCCAGGAAGCCGGCACGCGGTGCACCTGCGGCGCGGTCGCCCCTCGTGGCCCCTCGCAGGGTGGCCTGCAGCGGCGCCGCGCAGCACGGGGACGCCTCGGGCTACGACGCCGCGGTACACGCTTGTGGCCGACGCGGAGCCGTTCTTGCCGATCTCCGATCTCCGCAGGCAGGCCGTGAGCTTTTCTGGCGAGGCGTGCGCGGCGCAGCAGCCTGGAGGAGTACACCTTGAGGGGCGATGTGGTGAAGCTGAGCCTGCCCCGGGCCCTCGGGTTCGGGCCCCGCCTGGGCTGCCGCCCGACCCTGGCGAAGGGCCGCTGTTCAGCGGTGTCGCCTCTGCGAGCTGGGTTCGGCTGTCGCCTTCGGCACCGCGCACTGCTTGTTCGACGTCGTCGGCTGATGCTGCTGGTGTCCTGTCGTTTCGCGTCTTGGCCTTCGACTCCGAAGGCGACGATGATGCGCTCAACGCCTTCGACGTCAGCGGCGTCAGAGTTTGAAGTTGAAGTGAGAGTTGTCATGGCTGCATGGTGGGAGTATGGAGTACATTCGTCTGCAGCTATTGGTGTTGCTGTTCGTTGTTGTGGCACCTCTTTTTGCGAAGCTAGGGCTTCCAGGTATCACTGATTGGATATTGTATGTGGCTTCTCCTCGTGTGAGCTTCGTTGGCGCCTCCAGGTCGTGTTGTGGCAAGTTCGCTTCTCGAACCTTGACCTGGCCATCCATCAGTTCAAGCTCCTTACCAATGGTCTCGCGTGGTATTCTTCTTCCTCGCGCCTGGTGCACTCAGGCCTCAGTTGTATCCACCGCCCCCCTGAGTGCATGCAGGTAGCCGCCCGTCGATGCTAAAAAACATCCTCCTCCTTTTCATCCCCCACCGCTTCGCCTGAGGCCCATTCCTTACGTATGACTCCCAAGCTTGAAACGTTGAACAACTACACGGATGGATGCGGACCGTTTTCCAAATGCGGTCATCGCTTGGGCGCCGCGCACATCCGTTTTGAAAACTTCGGGCAGTTGGAAAGATAGAGGGCGGATCGTTTTCAAAGCGTGGCTCTCCCCAGTGCGGCGCACATTCCAACAGTTACACCCTCTGTTGTCAAGAGCCGAGCGTTGTGCAACAGCTTCACGGGTGGAGGGCGGTTCCGATCCTCGAGGCTCTCGTCTGAGATTCTTGCATCGCTTCGCTCGTTCCGCCGGCCCTGAAGCGCTATTTGGGGCCCCTTGGGGCCGTCTCGGGGGCCTCTTAAGGGCTCTTTGGGAGCGTCTTGGGGCTCCTTGGCGGCGTCTTGGGCTCCCCTGGGGCCTCTTAGGGGTTTCTTAGGGGCCCCTTGGGGCGGGAGGGGGGGTAGTCGATTGCAGCCACCCCCTCGGAGGCCACGATCCTCGTGAGGGGTGGCGAAAAATAGCTCTCCCCCTGGGGATCGCCCGGGACCCAGCCGGGAATCGGCCTGGGTACTTTTCGTCCGGGGGCCCCCAGGGGCCGCCCGGCGCGCGCGCACTAGAAATATTGTTAAGTAGTTACCGGAGATCTTAGCACTCCTCAAGGCTCTCGTTTGAGATGATTTCCGGCGTTAGTTACAGACCGTTTTAAATTTGGAGAAATTTGTACGGATTGGAAGCGGCTCTTTTGCAAATCGGGGCGCCCGTGGACAGTTATTTGGATTTGGTGTTCCTACGCCGTCTCTGTCCGTATATCGTAACGCATGGATGGCAGGCCCTTGCCAAAACGGGAATCTCGCCTGAATTACAGGACCATGGGGCATTTGTTTTTCAAGGAGGCATTCCTCGCTGTGAAGAGGAAGCCTTGCAGGAGCTCGCGAGGAGGGGACTCAGAACGGGCAGGCGCACTGCAGCATCGTCAACGCATCTTGGATGTGCTCTGGTTATCTGTCTTTCCCCCCTCGTCCTCCTCCTCCTCCTCCTCCCTCCTCCTCCTCCTCCTCCTCCTCCTCCTCCTCCTCCACCTCCTCCCCCTGTTCCTCCTCCTCCTCCTTGTCCTCCTTCTCCTCCCCCGCCTCCTCCTCCTTATCCTCCCCCCCCTCCTCCTCAGCTCCTCCTCTCCCTCCTCCTCCTCGTCCCCGTCCTCCTCGTCCCCGTCCTCCTCCTACTCCTCCTTCTCCACTTCCTCCACCTCCTCCTCCTCGTCTTCCTCCTCCTTCCCCCCGCCTCAAGCACAGGGGCGCGGAGCGCAGTAGTACCATCGTTTGGGTCTCACTGGCTTGCTCCAGCGTCCCGCCCAGTGCCTCCACCTGGCGCCTGAGGGGCACGCTCAGCGGTTGTTGTCGTTTCTGGCCTTGGTTGGGACGCTCAACCGTGTGAGCGTTGGCAAGATCTGGGCGGGTATTTCTCAGCCTGCCGCGAGCATTCTCATTGGTTGCCATCAGCTACAACTCTTGTTTTTGCACGTTTGTGTAAAGACAGTGGCAATTCCGTCTGGCGGTGCGAGGCTCGGTTGAGCGAGGGGCCCGCCTCGGCAACCAGCAGCTACTTGTTCGGGCCAGCACGCGTGAGGAAGGCAGGTTGTGGCAACTTATTGGCCGTTGCAAGGTCCGTCTGCACGTTGTCAGGTGCAGTGGCGCAATGGGCCAATGCATCAACGCAGGGCGTTTCATTTCGGTCATCAACTACATTGCTTGGACATGCGCGTGCGGCAGCTGTCCCGGCAGGTGCCTGCTCGGTTTGACGAGCAGCTGACATCGAGAACCATCAGCTACCAATTCGAATCAGCACGTGCGAGAACGGCAGGCAGTGGCAGGTTATTGGCCGCTGCACGGCCCGTCGGCGCGATCTCTAGTACAACGCCGCAAGTGGCCAGTGCATCAATGCAGTTCAGTTCACACCGACCGCCATCAGCTACAACGTATGGCTCTACAAGTCTGTGGAAAGCGGACGGTGGCAGGTACAGTCCGTTGTGCGAGGCTCGGTCGGTTGCGAAACGTGCGTCGACAACCATCAGCTACCAGTTTGAAATAGCGCGTATGAGAAAGGCAGGCAGTGGCAGCTGCTGCACGGCCCATTGGCGCGGTCTCCGGTTCACTGTCGCATCGGATGCGTTTCGAATGCGGCCGCTGTTTCGATTGCGGCGCGATCGGGAAGGCAAGTTTAGACCGGCCGTCCTCAATTACATTGTTTGTTTCTACACGTGCGAGAAAATGCGAATAGTGGCAAATATCTCTGGCGGTGCGGGGCTCGGCTGGGCGCGGATGCTTGCGCCGACAACCATCAGCTACGTGTTCGAGTCAACATGTGGCACGTTAACAGACGTTGCACGGTCCGTCGGCACGCTCCCACGTCCAATGTCGCAATGGATCCGTGCATCCTAATATGGTGCAAGTGACGGGCAGGCAGTGGCTGCTTTCCTTGTTGCGCGTCTTCGGTCTGGGAGCTCAGGTTGCACATCCCATCGTCGGCTACAACGCTCGGAATAGGCACGGTGTTATAGCGGTCGGTGGCAGTTATCCTCAGAGGAGCGTGCTTGGGCAAGAGCGTGCTTGGGCAAGGCTGGCCAGGTTTTCAGTGTATAGTTTGAACGGCTCGCATGGTGTCTTCGCGTTCGTGGGATGTGTTATTTGTTGTTGTCTGGTTGGGATGGCTGTTGCTGCTAATCTGCATGGGCCTTGCGTGCCCCATGAAAGCTTCGGCTGGAATGCTCAGCATCGGCGGCTTGGCATCTGCCCCCTTGCAAATGAGGTGTGATTGTTACGTTTCTCCATGTATGGTTCAATGCTACCCGCATCTGTGTGGCTGGCCGGAAGGAGTGGCACTTCATTTGTTTCTGATGTGATGCATTCGCACGAGGTATCAGATACGTGCCTCGTGCTTCCTGATCCTGCCATCCAGTTTCTGGGTCGTGGTGTTCGCCTTCTAGTTCACTTTCTTCGTCGGCAAGCTCAGGGGGCGCCGTGCGGCTTATTTAGAACAGACACCGTATGGTTGCTATCTTATATTATATGATCCTAATATATCCTATTATATCCTCCTCCTCCTCCTCCACCTCCCCCTCTTCTTCCTCCTCCTCATACTCCTCCTCTTCCTCGTCGGTCCTCCTCCTCCTCGGCCTCCTCCTCCTCCTCCTCCTCGCCGGTCCTCCTCCTCCTCCTCATCGGTCCGTCTCGGTCTTCCTCCTCCTCCTCGTTCTCCTCCTTCTCCTCCTCCTCATCATCATCCTCCTCTCCCCATCCTCTTCGCTGATCCTCGTCGTCTTCGGTCCTCCTCGATCCTCCTCCTCGGTCCTCCTCGGCCCTTTTCTTCCTCCTCCTACTCCTCCTCCTCCTTCTCCTCCTCCGCTTCGGTCCTCATCGCTGTTCCTCCTTCTGACTGCGCGGTGAAATCAAAGCGTCGTGGAGAAGATCGTGGCAGGCGTCCCCAACCCCACCTTTCGCGAAAGGGCACAAGGGTTCAAAGCAAAACGGGGGTTTCACGAGCAAAGCACCCATAGATCAGCAAAAGTGAAGAGGCGGGTCGAAGAGCCGAACGTCGGCGAGTGGAAACGAGCATCTTAAGTCCTATGGATTCCAGGACCTCGACGAGTCGGGACATGGGCGAGAGCACCGCCATGTGGTGGTCGGACCAAAATGCAGCCCGCACTGTGGCGAGAGCATGACTCAAAGACTTGCGCCATATCCGCCGGCCCCTTGAAAAATATCTGGGCCCCATACTGGGCCATGCTGGCCGGCTTTGGATGCCATCCTGGCGAGTTCGGAATCGTCATCGTAAGGCATCGTGGAGGCAATCTTAGATCGTCTCGGGCCAGCTTGGGGAGCGTCAGAAGCTGACGCTCGCGAGCCATCCAATCGCAAACGGAAAGCAGAGGCGGAATCGAAGCCGTTGACGTGCTATGCGCCAGGTTGCAGGAAGACTTCTTGGGATATGGGCGATTTGAACCGGAACCTAGTGAAGCATCATCGGTCGGCGAAAGGAGCCGGAGTGGTCTGCGGGGAATGTGACAATCATGGGGTCACCGCGAAAAGCGTGGCCGACGCGGCAAAGCGGCATGAGCGAAAAGTGACGTGCGCGGCGTGGGGGGAGCTTTCTTGGACACGAAACATTCGGAAAAGGAGCAACTGTAACATCATCGAAAGACAACACAGGCGCGCGTGGTGTGCGCAGATTGCGCGGACTTCGGTTTCACGGCGCACACTTAGCAGGCGCACCAGTGCAGCGGCACGTGCAACAGAAAATTGCTGAAGTCGGCGTTCTCCGTGGCGGGCAGACACGTCGTTCGCACCGAAAAGAACGGCACCATGAAGTGCAAGTCATGCAAACGATGACCGCCGAACTCAGTGAAAATGGGACCAGAAGGGGCAGACGAACAATCTGATAATTCTGATGCTCAGAAGCGAGAGGAGGGGGAGGAGGAGGAGGAGGAGGAGGAGGAGGAGGAGGAGGAGGCGGAGGAGCAGGAGCAGGAGGAGCAGAGGAGCAGGAGGAGCAAGAGGAGGACGATGAGGAGAAAGAGGAGGAGGTGGAGGAGGTGGAGGAGGGGGAGGAGGAGGAGGAGGAGGAGGAGGAGGAGGAGGAAGATGAAGATGAAGATGAAGAGGCGGAGGAGAAGTCAAGATCCAGTCTTAGGGCCAGAACTCGGGCTTGTTGCGGCCGTTCGGGGCGGGACGAGTCTGGCGCCCCCAGAACGGCGTTCTTCAGCCCGAATCATGGCCCGAGGGCCCGACCATGGCCCCCAGTGGTCGAAGTGGGGGGAAACAAAAAAAAAAAAAAAAACGTCGGAATATCGAAAGTCGGGGAGCAGGAAGAGGACGATGAGGAGAAAAAGCAGGAGGAGGAGCAGGAGGAGGACGGTGAGGAGAAAGAGGAGGAGGAGGAGGAGCAGCAGCAGGAGGAGGAGGAGGAGGAGGAGGAGGAGGATCAATGTGCCTGCCGCTGTTGCCGCG